CTGGGGCTGTGTGCCGCGATCGAATGTCATTGTAGAAAGGGCAGCACAGCGGAACATGGTGCATAGTCTCTACTTTCCCTGCATGGCATTGTTGAGGGAGCAGGATGCGATAGGCATGCCCATCGTAACGGGTTAAGTATCGGCTCTTTAATGGAACCTATTTGAAGCATGCTGTACCTACAGGCGGGAGAGAAGGCAGCGTGGCAGAGCCTGGTCTTGTCAGATCTCAGAAGCTAAGCAGGGTTGGACGGGAGACCTCCAAGGGAGACTCTGCAGAGGAAGGCAATGGCACATCACCTCTGCTTTTACACGCGCCTGCAGCCGTCTGCTGGTCTAAGGCTACAGATCTGCGCACACTGAATCGAGAGGGAACGCTACCAAACACACAGCCACACTTACTTCTGAGTAAGGTAAAGGTAAAGATTACCCTTGCTCGAAAGCCAGTCGAGTCCGACTCTAGGGTTGCAGTGCTCATCTCCGTTTCAAAGCCGAAGAGCCAGCGCTGTCCGAAGACATTTCCGTAGTCCTGTGGCCGGCATGATTAAACACCAAGGCGCATGGAACGCTGTTACCTTCCCACCGAAGCGGTACCTATTTATCTACTTGCAATGTCTTGCTTTCGAACTGCTCGGTTGGCAGGAGCTGGAACTAGAGACGGGAGCTCACTCCGTCATGCGGCACACTCGGGTCTCGAACTGCTGAACTACCGACCTTCCACAGCCTGCAGTTCAGCGTCTTAACCACTTGAGCCACCACAGCTCCTTCTGAGTAAGGACCCGATTGTAAATCTCCCCTCCGAAACAACTCGATTCTCTGTTTCTTTCCCCTTCACCTCCTCAATCGATATTTCTTTGCCTGTTTCTCTCCTAAAGATTTTTTTTTTTTACAGAACAACTGTTGCCATCTGCGTTAGGTAGGTGGTTGCAACTCATGTAGTCACTCATGCAGTCCAGTGCATAGAGTGGGATGGGGGGGGTTGGAGGGGGGGAATGCCAAATCACTGCCAAGTTATGGCGACGACCCCCCCCCCCCGGCCTCTGCAAAAAAAAAACGGCCTCTGCATAAGAACCCCTGTCGTCCTTGCTGCTGTCCCATCTGGGGCCAGCCCTGCTTAGCTTCCAAGATCGGGCTAGCCTAGGCTACGCAGGTCAGGGCAGAGAGGAGTTTGCTTGCAGCCAAAGCTTGGATTGTCCCCATCCCCATCAGGGGCCCGGGTATTATTGCTAGGGATGTGGAATGGTATAGTATAGCCCTATCTCACCAAGGGTGATCCTTCACTGGCTTTCCCCTCTGTTGTTATACCGAACCCACCTTGGAACAGAAATTCCCCTCTGCATTGCATGCCGCTTTCGCTTTCTTTGATCATCAGATTTTATGGTATCCTCTGCATTGCATGCCGCTTTCGCTTTCTTTGATAATCAAATTTTATGGTGCCCTTCTACACTGCATGTCGCTTTCGCTTTCTTTGATCATCAGATTTCATGATACCCTCTACACTGCATGCCGCTTTCGCTTTCTTTGACCACTGGGTCTTATGGTACCTCCTGCATAGATTTATAGCCGTTCAGGTGTGACTTTGCCATCAGTACAGCATTGCCCCGGGGTATTTGAATGTGGTTTCGAGTGGCATTTTTTCCTGTTTCAAGGTGGGTTTGGTAAAACAACGGAGGGAAAAGCCAGTGCAGAAGCAACCCAAATCTCAGAAGCCAAGCAGGGACCATACTTGAATGGGAGACCGCCAAGGCAGGCTCTGCTGTGGAAGGCAATGGCCAACCACCTCTGCGTCTCACTTTCCTTGAAAGCCCTATGGGGTCACCATAAATCAGCTGTGACTTGATGGTACTTTACACACCCGTGCATGATTGCTAGACAATTGTTTGGGCTCTCAAGCAAATTGACATAGCAAATCACTCAGATGAGAAACAGCAGCCCGGTGACCTCTTGCTCTAGGAACCCTTTGTAACATAATCAGAAGTGTGTGTGGGAGGGGCTAGTTGAAATTCTTCTACCTCGTTTTTGACATCTTTGCCTCCCCCTTCATCCAAGGAGCTCAGGGCACCAGTACTTGGCTTGTCATTCATGCATTCTGTCTAGACAACAGCCCTGCAAGGTAGGCTAGGCCGACGGGTTAGTAGCTGCCCAAAGGGTTGTGAGCTGCATCACTGAGCAGAGATCTGAATCTGGCTCATCCCAGTCCTAGTCCCGTCCTCGAACTGCTGCATGCCACTAGCTCTCAGTGGTGATGGGGGAAGCACTCTGTACATGCTCTAGGAAAACATAACTATCCTATGTTGTAGGACCAAACTTTTTTTTAAAAAGGCTCCAGGATTAAGATCTGGCTTGATTTAAGCACTGATGACTGAGCTGGGATGGGTTTTCCCCTGATTTCGGGGGTTGCACGGTGAAACCGCAATTGTGTCAGAAACATACAATGAAGCCCCAACATTGTTTTTTCGGAAAAGCACAGGATGTGGTAAGAGGGCCATAGCACAGGCCAGCTTAATTCTAGAGAATCTAGATGATTTGAATAGCCTTTCTCCGAACACCCTGCCAGCACCTGAGCTGAAGCATTCAGTTATAAAGTTGAATGTCAGCCCTAGACACAGGAGGAGTGCACATGGCTTCTCCAGAGCTTGGTATTTCGTTCTGGTGCATGTATTAGTAGGTGCTTGAGCTAGCCCTTGTCCCCCTCTTATCTCCTGTGGCTCAATGGAAGAGCCTCTGATTTGCATGCAAAAGGTACCAGGTTCAATCCCCGGCATCTCCAGTTAAAGGGCAAAAAAGGAGTAGGTGATATAAAAGACCCCTGCCTGAGACTCTGGAGAGCTCCTGTCAGTCAGAGTGGACTATACTGACCTGGATGGACCAAACGGTCTGATCCAGTATAAAGATAACTTCTTGTGTGCATGTGGAAAGGGAGGTTTCCATCACCCCAGTCCAGTAAATGACACATGGGCCAGTGCGTGGAGTGTTAGTCAAGGAGCTGGGAGACCCCACTGCAGATTCACACAGTGGCACAAAGCTATCTAGGTGACCCAGAGCACATCCACACCTTCTCAGCCCAACCTACCTCACCAGGAAAGGGAGAACCAGGTATATTGCCTGGAAGTCTTTGGAGGAAATGTAGTAGAGTCACAAATCGACTAAGTTCTGCCACCAGCCTTCCTTCCAAAGCCTCATGGGACATAATACAGGGAACACAGAGAACATCTCAGGACTCTTTTACCAGAATGCAACCCACAGGAGCTGTGGATTTGATCGGAGCAGCAGGGCAAAGAGAGGGGAGAATGCAGAATTCCCACCCCCCCAGCTTTTGACTGCTCCCTCCCCCACACAGGAAACAGAGATATGCTGGACCTAATATTTTTGCCTGCATTGAAGGGGGGGGGAACAACCACAAAGACCTGATCTCCTTTCTGAGCAATGCTTTGTTGGTGGAGATTGCCGGGCATGTGATCGCGGCCTATGCAATGCCTCTCCGTCCCCTAGCTCACCCACCACACTTCCTCTGTTACCCCATCGCTCTCTGCAGACGGAGATAGATACCAAGTTGCCCCACAATCTGCAAGATCTGTGAGGAAATTGCTCCACATGTTCTGCTGGCAGAGTTCAGCAGCTAATCCAAATCCACACGCTTCGGAGTTTGCTTTCAACAAATTTTACTGCAGCAGGGTCTTGCAAAAAACCAATAACTGACTGCAGGGCCCTAATAAAACGGAAAGGCCTTCAAAGCACAAGCACGAGCACAGACTACGACACAGCAGACAGAGAAGACAACAAGAGGTAGGCTGAGCGGCAAGAGACAAACAGGCAATAAGCCCCAAACACTAGAGAATGCTCCATAGTGCCCCCTAGGGGTACAAGTGGACTACACTACCTGTAATCAGATGGCCAGCAGGCTGTTGCTTCTCTAACATGTTCAGCCTCTGTGCGTTTAGCTCAAAGAGTGGATGACAGGTTTGATTCAAGAGGGTGTGTAGCTTCTAAAAGCCCTTTGCTTTTAAAGATAATTCAAGTATGGATTGGGGTTTGAAGCCTGCTCTGTTTGCAGGGCTGGCCCTAGCTTATTTTGCACCCTAGGCGAGGATCCCTTCTGGCACCCCCCGTGCACTGCCCCACCTCCCCTGTGCATCGCCCCCCCCAGCTCCGGGGAGGCGTGCACGTGGCACCCACAATTCCCCCCCCCCCACCCCCCCCCTGCCGCTCTGTTGGGGGGGAGAGTAGAAAGAGGCAGGGCGGTAGTCACCCGGTCAGGGCTTTTGGCAGGGGGGCGGGTGCAGTTTGGTGCCCTAAGGGCTGGCCCGCCCTAGGCGAATGCCTAGTTTGCCTAGTGAGTGAGCTGGCCCTGTCTGTTTGCAGGAGCTGAAGACATTGCCAAAAAAAAAAAAAAGTCACATCAGATTAACTCTTGGGGAAAATGTTAAGTAAACATGTGATTGTGGGTTCTTTGTTTTGTTTTTTTGTTTTTTTAATCGACCTTATTGTGTATGGATGTGGTTCAGCTCACTTCCTTGATCTGTCTGAAATTATTTGCTTGGCATGAATTTTCCCGCATGTTCTTGTGGACCAGGGCTGCCAGGCCTCTGCTGTGGTGAGAGGCCTCCTGCTGGCAGCCTCAGTCACCTGCCGCCGCTCAGAGAGGTGACGAGGAAAACTGGAAGTGATGTCATGTAGCTCTAGGAATCACTGGGAACTGTATGGTTTTGCCATAGAGTTTCTGGCAATTCCTAGAGCGACGAGAGACTGCTTCAGTTTCTCCTAGAGCTGATGTCATGGCTCACGTAACACTGGCACCCTCCATGACACTGCCCACAAAGCAGCTACTGGTTGCCAGGCTCAACCTGGCAAATGTACTGGTGGCACACAGAAGACGTTTTGCTGCTTGCAGAGTTTGAGGATTTCACGGCAGAGGGGGGTAAGCAGAAGACTCAGAACTGTGTTGACATTCCTTTCATTTCTTTTCCACTCAGTTCCTCTTCTGCTTCCTGACGACCGAGAGAATGATGGGAGACAATTCAACTCTGAACATCTCTTCTCAAGTGACAGGGCAGTCCTCGCTGCAGGGAGCATCAATCGGCATTGCCGTGCTCTCGATTGCCTTCATTGTGGGTTTCCCTGGCAACGCCTTCGTCGTGTGGAGCGCGGGCTGGCGTGTCCGCAAGCGGACAGTCACCTGCCTCCTCATCCTCCAGTTGGCCATCGCTGATTTGATAGTGCTGCTCATGGCGCCCATCTTCCTGCGGGTGCTAAGCGTCCGAAAGTGGGAACTGAGTGATGCTATCTGCCGTGGATGCCACTACATCTGCGGGGTCAGCATGTACGCCAGCGTCTTCCTGATTGCCCTCATGAGCTTGGACCGCTGCTTGGCCATCTCCAAGCCTTTCCTCTCACACAAGATCCGCAACAAAAAGACCATATGGCTTGTGGTTTTGGCCATCTGGCTCTCTGGCGTTCTCTTGGCCATCCCGGTCCTCCTCTACCGAAAGGTGTTACCAGGAAAGAATGGGCAGCCTCATTGTGCCTTTGACCACCCCACAACCAAAGAGCTGGTCTTCCACAACCTCTTTGAAACCATCACTGGATTCCTGCTCCCTTTCATCACCATCATCTACAGCTACTGTACCATCGGCCAACGACTGAGAGACACCCGCTTTCGCCAAAAACGCCGCACGGGCCGCCTCATCTCTCTCATCGTGGTGGCCTTTGCTGTTTTTTGGCTCCCTTACCACGTGGTCAACCTTCTGGATGTCACCGGTATCTGGAGCAACTCTGAAAAAGTAAAGGCAATCGGAAAGATGACTCGGCCCGTGTTGATCGCCCTGGCCTTCTTCAGCAGTAGTGTTAACCCTATCCTTTACGCCTTCAGTGGAGGCTCCCTCATTCGATCTGCTGGCTTGGGCTTCATGGCCAAGCTCTTTGAAGGAACCGCCTCAGAGTTGTCCAGCGCCAAACACGGTACCAGCCGGGACCCTCAACGCCATATGGAAACCAAGATGGACCGCGCAGGGAATGGGAGTCCTGCACACTTGACCATGTCTACCAACCCAACGGGTGAAACATCTGAAGAACGTGCAGAAACTTTGAAGCCCCTTAAGTCACCCTGAGACGCTACCATTGATCTCCATGTATCTGGTGCTCCCAAGATCTCAGTATCAAGCAGTGTTTTTTAAAATACATGCAGTGGGCTTTGTCACTCCATATTCTCAACACTTCCTCCTCATCTGGAATAAGCCCACTCCCTTGGTCTGTATTCTACAATGACCAGAAGGCTTGCTTTGGAACATGGGAGGGCCATGTTCAAACCCCCCACTTGAGCCTCAGGTTTTCTACCTGGCTTGGAGCAAATTGTTTTCATTCAGACCAGCTTCCCGGAAGCGTGACGTGAACTCCTAAATCAGAACTGCAAATTGAAAACGTGTTAAAGATATATAAATATGGTAAACGAGGGCCAAAATTTCAGCGCCTCAGCTAGCGTCAGATGTACTTTTAGTATTGATTCGGGCCAACTTCTTGGACACTGCCCGGGGGAAAGGCAGGGTCCAGACTCAAGTCTGCATCAGAGGCGTCATGGCCTGACTTCTACTCTCCACAGACATCTCAAAGTAGGACAGGGCTTAGGGTCGCCAGCTGTGGTTGGGGAGATCCCTGGAGATTTGGGCGTGGAGCCTTGGGAGGGCAGGGTCTGGGGAAGAGAAGGAGGTTGGTGGGTGCAATGCCACATAATCCACCTTCTATAGCAGGCATTTTCTTCAAGGGGGGGGCTGATCTCTGTCACTGGAGATCAGTTGTAATTCTGGGAGATCTCCAGCCACCACCTGGAGACTGGCAACCTTAGATTTTGGTAGGTTGGGCTCCTGGTGCGTATCTCTGTATATTTAGCTGCCAAGTATAAGCCTAGATGTTCAAGCTTACATGAGAAAATTCCAGTGCACAGAGGTTGGGTTAGCCATGTTGATGTTTTAAAATCTACCCTTTTATTCCCTCTTGGAACCTACTGGAATTATATTCTTTGGCTTACTTCTTATTTAAATACAATAAAATTTTATTAAAAAAAATATTTAGCTTAAGGCCCACTCTGCATCGAGCATTTGCTCCGTTGTTTTACCAAACCCACACTGGAACAAAAAAAGATGCTGCTCAAAACCATATTCAGATACCCCGGGGCCAAGACCATACCGACAACAGTCACCCCTGAATGGCCATAAAACAGCCATAAATCTATGCAGACAGTTCCATAAAACCGAGAGATCAAATGAAGTGAAAGCGGCCTGCAGTCTGGACGCTGCCATAAAATCCGACAATCAATCCAAGTCAAAGTGGCATGCAATGTCGAGGGGAATTTCTGTTCCAGCGTGAGTTTGGTAAAACAGTGGAGCGAAAGTTAGATGCAGATCGGGCCTTAGAAAGGCACTGCAGATTCTAAGTGTGAGTAAATTGAGAGGAAACAGGATTGCGGGGGCGATCTTCCCCCAATGTATATTCATTTGAGGGCCAAAACTGACCCCTATATGCATTCAAATGCTACATGTGTAAGTTTACCTGAGCAATTTGGGAGCGGTAGGCTGGGGTTTGCTGCTGTGATCCCACCTCCCCATGTAATCCTATTGCATAAGGGGCATGTTAAGCAGTGTTCCCTCTAAGATGAGTCAGTCCGAGCTGGCTCACAGTTTTTTAGCCTCCAGCTCACACATTTTTGTCTTAGCTCACGAAGGATGGCTCCGGAGCAAACTAATTTAGGTACCAGCCAAATCGCTCGCTCACAACTTTAATGCCAGCAGCTCACAAAGTAGAATTTTTGCTCACAAAACTCCACAGCTTAGAGGGAGCACTGCATGTTAGACAGGTGTGTTCAAACCCTATGCTTTTTTTAAAATGTTCTGCACAGTCTGTGAAATATACAAATTTAGCAGCCTGCAGAAACTGATGCACATTTGCATCATTTCCCCTATACGGCTAGTCCCGGGGAAGGGGAGAGACTCTAGATGTGATGCATAAACTATTTTATCATCTTTGCATTTTTTTTCCCTTTCAAGCCCTTCACTTGTTTTCCATATATCCGTTACGATACATTATGCAATGTTTATTTTTGTGATTACATTCATTTCAGTTTCTGCTTGTTTCAATGGTAAGCATTTGTATGGCATTCTTGTTAGGGGCGATTTTCAGTCGTCACGTTTCAGACAGATAGGAAGGAGAATCCTGGTGACTGAAGGCAAGAAGTCTTGAGAAATAAATGCAAAACACATGGAAATGAACTGAATGATTTGCATCTGCCTATTCATTCCTATTTATTCTCATTCTAAGAGAGCAACAAATGGATCTTTTATAGGTCCATTTTCATTAGTTTGGAATGGCATGTATATTGCTTGCCAGGGCTATTTTGGGGCAGGAACGCACAGGAACAGAGTTCCAGCTGGCTTCCAAGTTGGCCACATCCACCAGGAACTCATTAGCATAATAGGCCACACCCAACAGCAGAAACGCATTAGGATTGGCTACATTAGGGGTGTGTGGCCTAACATGCAAAGGAGTTCCTGCTACAAAGAAGGCCTTGGTTAAATTGAATAAGCAAAAGGTGGGTGTGGCTGGATGAGCACACTTCTGGTAACATGGGGGTGTGGCCTAATATGCCAATGAGTTGTGCTGTCAGGGGTGTGGCCTAATATGCTAATGAGTTTCTACTGCTGGGTGTGGCCTGTTATGCTAATGAGTTCCTGCTGGGCTTTTTCTACGAAGTACAAAGTACAGTTTTCTACAAAGTACAAAGTGGCCTGTTATGCTAATGAGTTCCTGCTGGGCTTTTTCTACAAAGTACAAAGTACTGAGCCATTGTTCCCTGACCCCTGGAAAATCTAGGTCAGTAACTCCTATGGTTTCAGAGATTTCATTTCATTTAGTTTTGAAGCACACCATTGCTTTCATAAGATCAGGATAATTGCATGTGCGTGCTCTTGGATTCTGGTCAATTTCTGGGTGCCCATGTAGTGGCCCAAGAGCACATTAAACCTGTTTCAGTTGATACATTCATTGCTTGGAAAAGAAGAATCTGACAATTGTACGTGCCCTGTGGTGGAATGGGCCTGCTCTGGCCTGCAGGCCCTGTTCCACCCTGCCCCCCAGGGTTTTCCCAACAACTCTCCAGTAACCCACCACCATCACCTGACCTTTGCAAGAATTGCCCACTGGGAGGGTCAGGAATCCCAGCTTCCCTTCCAAGTTCTGAGGCCTTGCCTCTGTGTCTCCCACTGCCCAGCACCCAGTCACCAGGGGGAGGGTTTACTGCCTTGTGTATCCCTGGAGGAATAGCCACTTGCCAACTGACTGCCTTCCCCTGGCACTTCTTTTAAATAGGATGTCCAAGATGGTGGAGGTCTGTGTGGTACAGTGAACCACTACCAGTGTCAAAAGTTATGAGGTACTTATTTAAGAGAAAATGTTCACAAGCATACTTCCAGCATAGCACCAGATTGAGCAAGGGATTCAAAAGAAATGGGTAAAATGCAGTTCCTCTGGCCCTCTCTCTATACAAGCGCTGTCTGATGTTAAAATATAGGACAGGCTCCTTAGCATAGGAAGTTACAGATCTCTACAGAGTTTCATTACCTTGAAGCTTCCTTCAACTGTCCAGGCCAACACATGGCTAATTGCTGCCTCCTCCAGTTAAGACTTCTGTCTGTTCTGATGGACTCAGCCCCCCAAAAGAGAACTTACTCCTTGCGCCTCTGAGTTTTATCACCTGTCTTTCCCCCATCCACTGGCCAGTCAATGTTTTACTTGACTTGGACTGCCCCATCCTTTCCCCTGTTTCTCTGACTTAATTTTTCCCAGTTCTAACCGTACATCCGTACTGACTTAACTGGAACCTTGTCTTTCTCAAACACAATCCCCGCCCTGCAATGCATCTCACCCCTGAAGGAAGAAAGTGTTGGCAAAATTGAACAAAAATTAATATCCCAAGAAATCTGTCCATGTCTGGTTCAAAAATAAGAATTGTAAGGATGTTAAAATAGAAATGCTGTCTACCAAAAAAAAAAACCCCAATAACACTGTTTATTCCAGCAAGAATTTAAATACATCAGTTGTTTGGGAGGAACTGTGGCTCGGCGGTAGAGCATCTTCTTGGGGTGTTGAAGGTCCCAAATTCAATCCCCAGCATCTCCAGTTAAAAGGATCAGGTATTAGGTGATATGAAAGACCTCTGCCTGAGACTCTGGAGAGCCAGTGCCAGTCTAAGCAGATGATACTGACTTCAATGGACCAAGGGTCTGAATCAGTACAAAGCAGCTTCATGTGTTAGGGTCTATTGGGAAACATCTTTCACTTTCTCCTTGCTAGCAAGAATAAAGCAACTCTGCTTTTAAAGGGCAATGCTGGCCTAGTTATTTATGGGTCAGCATCCAACTTTGATAAACTGTATCACACAATCCCTTGTAATTTCACAGAGGATCCTCATGTGTGCGTGCCTCGGGAGATACATGCTCCTCTTGTGTTGCCAGATGGAATTCTAGAAGTGGACATGACATGGTTTCTATACATTACTTCCAGCAAAATCTGGAGCAACCTGTGAACTCAGAGGTGTGGCGCACCCTACAATATTTCACGCAGGCAACGCACAGCCCATGGTAGAGCCAAAGGGTTGGATCCGGCCAATTTTTTAAAATTCAGTTTTGCCCAATTCTCCTCCTGACCAGTGTTCCCTCTAAGCCGAGTGAGTGTGAGCTAGCTGTTTTTTAGCCTCCGGCTCACACATTTTTGCCTTAGCTCACGAAGGAGGGCTCCAGAGCAAACTAATTTATGCAGTAGCCAAACACTCGCTCACAACTTTAATGCCAGTAGCTCACAAAGTAGAATTTTTGTTCACAGGACTCCATAGCTTAGAGGGAACATTGCTCCTGACTACAGTACCCCAGGACAACATGGTTTTTATCCATGCAGGTCTCCTGATCCCCAGCATAGGGAACCTCTCCTCCTCCCTTTTTTACAAGCAGAAAAGCAGGTAGGATCCAACCAGTGTTCCCACTAAGCTGAGTGAGTGTGAGCTAGCTCACAGTTTTTTCACCTCCAGCCCACACATTTTGGTCTCCGCTCAGGAAGGAGGGCTCCAGAGCAAACTAATTGATGCAGCAGCCAAATCGCCCACTCACGACTTTAATGCCAGTAGCTCACAAAGTAGATTTTCTGCTCACAAGACTCCACAGCTTAGAGGGAACATTGGACCCAACCCAAAATGTGTTCTCGGGAATCCAGATACAGAGGAGGGGCTTGAATGACGCCTCCTCCATCCGATAACAACCCTTCAGGATCACAGGCGGTTACAGTTTTGCTCCCTGTATTCTTGTTAAAGAACGATTCCGGGGGTGGGAGTGGGGGTAAACCCACGACCTTGTTCTACGCGATCTTCTCCCGCGCTCGGTCTTGTCCCCAAAGCTTTGTTGACCCAGATGAGAATTCAAACCTATATCTTGAGAGCGCAAAAGATTAGCATCTCGGCTTCTGGGCTCATTTGCAAAAGATTAGCATCTCGGCTTCTGGGCTTCAGCGCTCATTCGTCATCTGGGCCACATCAATTGTGCTTCTGAACCCTTCCAGGATGTCGTGCGGAGGGACTGTCAACTCTCAAACCACAATCAAAAGAGGAAGGGGAAGGATGGGGGGGGGGAGCTGGCCTACATAGGAAAAAAGGCTCAGGAAGCAACCTACTTGTGCTTTGTGTTCCAAGGCAAGACAATAACCACCAGTGTTCCCTCTAAGCTGAGTTCGTGTGAGCTAGCTCACAGTTTTTTAGCCTCCGGCTCACACGTTTTTGT